TTGCGGCATTGTATTCTACTTGTAAAGACCTTTAATTTGATGTGGATATGAACGCTTACATTTAAAAATTTCCTCTGACTCCTAGTAGGCCCCTGAAGAGGTAGTGTATCACAGAATCATGCGTTAAAATTATTTGAATACCCAGTAACTGTGTACCAAATTTTAAAGCGCTATCTTCATTAATTTTTTATATATTTATTATTTAACCATCCCGGAACTTTTTTTCCACTCTGATAATGTTGAGATGGTACAGGCTGGTCGAGGAGGAGGGTGAGGTGAGACTATACCATTGTCTGTACAACTCACTGGAGTATCATGGAGAAGATCCTCAGTTCCTGCTGATGCCTGCTGAGGGTATCCCAGTCATCACACATCTCCAGGCCAAGTATCCTGGATACACCTCACTCCGGGACATACCCCACCAGGACCCAGAGGATCTGGTAAGCTAGACAAAACATCTTACCCACCTAAAATACACTCCTTGGCGGTGTGGCTGTTCCAAATGTAACGAAAATCATTCATTAAAACATAAAAATATAGTATATTTATTGAGAGTGAGAATATATAGGCCTACCTAAGGCATGAGCATTTCTTCACACACTCATGCTATCTTTTCCTGCTGCTTGAAACCCCGCTAGTGTAGTATGCCATACTTGAGTTTTTTTTTATATATTATAGTAAACTAGTGCTCCTGTTGCTCGAATTCGAGCAATTGCTAAGTATTCCAGGCGTTATTTCAAAACGAATTAACAGTCATAATTTCCGATGACTTAAAAGAGTCAACTCAAAGATAATGTAATCAATCACTCGACTCCAGTTATCGAAACTGAAAATGAACTCACTCTGAAAATGAACGCTCTTATGTGTATCATGCGTTTAATATAAACAGCTGTTTTAGTATGCAATTAATACAAATTATTCGTCTGTTTAAGTAAACAAAATCGTTTCTTCATAAGAAATACACTGGCATTTTGATAGCCTGTGGGACAAAGCCTGAGGACTTTTATTACAGGAATTGGTGAAAGGGGGCATCTACACAACAAATTCTTAATTTTGACACCTCATTTGTAAAAATCCGTCAATTATTAACGGAGGAGTAGTGTTTCGTAGAAATCGCCTTCACGTATTATATATAAGGATGTGGCATCTTTTTCTGTCTAGTTAGTTGCAGTGCACCCATCCACATGATTTTTAATGAGATTTTGTTTTTCCTGGTAAACGCTTAATCCATCAGAAATCATTATTTGCAAAACATAGAAAGAAAATTTATCCAAATCTCGTTAATTGTGCATTCTCCAGTTATACCCAAAGTGGTGATCCAATAAATGACCGACTGTTTACAAATTTGCTAGTTAGTATTTTGAATTTAAAATGAGTACCGTACAGTTTAAAATTACACAAAATATATATTGAAAATTGCATCATTAATCCAAGAACCGTGACAAACACAGCCAACCTTGTTTGTACGAGACACTACAGTGGCAAGCTTGAAGATGGAACTAATTGGAACACTCAATTTTGATTGTGTCGCAAAAGGATGATTAACACGTTTTCTTTTTGGACCAGTGAACAGGGTAGGTTCAACCAGGCTCCAAAGTTACTTTTAAGACCGTTTGTGATGGACTTTCCATTTCCATTTCGTTTTGTCATAAGAGCCAGAAGCTCTCTGACTGCAAACCCGGTACCTGTAATTAAACATACCCGGGCATGATGTAGGCCGAAGCATTCACACCGACCTTTGGCACACCATGAGAGGATGACTTAAGGTCATCAGGCTCGCCGGCTGCCGAAGCAACCCTTCGGAGAGAGGGTTGCCTCTCAATCCTAACCAAGGATACCGGCTACTTGTTTAAGCGTCACTCCACCTGGGTTCCCCCAGGTACGAAACCCAGAAGGACCATAATGGAATGCCCTGACGCATTTAGTGCAGGCAACACTCGGGACCTATCCAATCCCAGACAGGCAGATCCCGCCGTCAAAGCCAGGAAGAAGGGGACCACCAGCAAGCTGATGGGGGAACCCCAACCACCTATTTACACCACTACCCGATCGAGGCCTTACCCAGTTTCTGGGAAACCAGAGGTGACCAAGGCGATACATCCCTGAACACCCCCAGCGGGCTTGAACCCAGCACCCTATCTACTTCGTTTGCCTGTCAAGCCCAACATCACTGCCAGGCCATCAGGGTTTCCCAAAAGGAGGCAGGAATAGAAGTGGGTCCCACCCGGATGAACCTATCCACCATTGCTCAATTGAGGTTCCAGGGAGAACCCCCCACACTCTAGATAACCATACCTTCCGGTCTCAGAGACAGGGATTGGCTGATGGAGTGCGCCCAGCCGTTGCCCTCACACTGCGGAAAGTTACGTTCCCTTAGAGTGTCCCCGTGAGCTGACGGGTACTCGCCCGATTTCACCTCCAGGAAGACTACTTCCAAAGTCGAGGATTTGCCACACTGAATGCCAGTCGCACATCAACAAGCGGGCCGAAGCCCAAAGGATCATAGCTACAGGCAGGTGATAGATTGGTGGCGCACTTCCACCTCTTGCAGAGCTGAACACCCCCCACAACCTGGATGGGGGAATGTCACTGGGTACTCTCACTTTGGGTAAACCCAAAGAGGCTGGCTTGCCCAGTCGTCCATAAATATGACCTACTTGAAATGCCGATTCCGACACCGCGCAGTTACCTCCCCTTTGGGGGCGAACTTACCCAATTTTTCACCTCCCAGGACGAGGCTACTTCCAGAGCCGAGGATATGCCTCACAATGTCAGTCGTACACAACAGGCAGGACGAGCCCGATGAACTCAAGTCACAACCACAACCACAGCCACAGGCAGGTGGGAGACCGAAGTCTCGCAAAGCTGAACACCCCACCACCCTGAATGGAGAAAATGTCACTGGGTACTCTCACTTTGGGTACAACCCAAAGAGGCTGGCTTGTCCAGTCGTCCATAACTGTGGCCTACCTGAAGTGCTGGTTCAAACACCGGGCAATTACCTCCCCTCTGGAGGGCAAGTTCGTGATGGACTACTAGGCTTAACAATAGCATAATAAGATGATTTTATGTGAAACGGACATTCATTGGCAACCACCCAACTACATCCAGCTGAACAAGCCCACTTGGAGATGTGAAATATTGTTTGTATGCTATAAACTCCCTGAAAATCAATTATCAATTGTCAATTATTTATGATGGGGACGCCACTATGTGCGTATTTTAACCCAAATATGAGTGGAAGGATGAGTGTGAGTGGCCTTTCATCAAGTGATTTTTTAATCCATTCCTGCTTCCTTGATTTATTCCAAAGCCAATCTGGGTTACCTCCAAAAATAATTAACACAGTATCTTGTAGCCTAATGCCATTTATCTCCACATAGGACTATGACTTCATAATATTTTTATTCATATTAATGAAATCTGAGAAGTATTTTATCTGAGAAGTTGTTTATTTTTCAGATCACACTGATATCTGACCTTTGGGATGCAGGTTTGCTGTCTGCAAAAAATCTTCCAGTCGTGGAAGAAAATTGATCATCGTTCTTAAAACGTTTCCTGTACGTTTGCATCAAAGGCAGTCTGAACGCATGAGTCCCAATTCTTTTAAACGCTGCTAAATGAAATCAGAAAGAGGAAACTAATGTAAGATGAAGTCAATTACTTAAACCTGTGGATGGATTTAGTTTTATTGCTTGATATTGATTAGAATAAGTAATGTATTTGACCAATTTGACCTTAATGTTTTTATATCTCATCACACATTTTTTTACAATATTGACCAAACAATTATTAATGTAATTTTGTATACTTCAAGTACCTCTACTGAAGAGTATAGTTTATTCATTTCAGCTCAGATATTGTCCCCAACAAATGCTTGTAAATAATTTGTAATTTATAGTCTAAAAGGATGGTTTAAATTTTGTTTTGCAGCCTTTACTGACCAACTATATTCATTCAAACAAATGGTTTTGTTGATGTTACTTTTGTATAGCCTAATATTATTTCATTTCTATTAATGTATAAAGTATATAGTGTTGGTATTTTACAAAAATTGTATTATTTTATTCCTTTTTTCTGTATCCATCCATCTACATTCCTAATGTCGGACACCACTAAAAATATTTGACAAATGCCTAAATGATCTGGGAGCAAGCTAAGAACTACTAGTTTTCAGTCGAACAAAGTTGTTTGTACAGTAAACATTTTTGTCTGATCAACAGATCTGAGCATTGCCTCATTTAGTTCTATGTGCAACTGGAGTTTAGTTGTATGAGACAGAACTGCTGGGTATTAAAACTTATGATCAGGTGTTACTAAAGCTAATCTGGACTCTATCTACCAGGTAAGCTGGATGATTCCCATCCCTGTACACCTAATCAGCCTATTGGCTTTTCCTTAATTTCTTTTAAAAGGCCTACTTTAATACTTTTAATTGGAATGGCAACCATACGAAGGTAGGTATTTGAACTTTTAAGCCAATTATGAATAGAGATGAGTGTAGGGTTATTGGCACGATCTTGTAGTCTTGTTACTGACTAAGGTTGACATGTTCCTTAGACATGACTGTTAATTAATAGCCCATACAGCCAATGGCAACCAAGGGACCTACAGTTTATAGTGGAATCCGAACCACATTTTTGCCATTGTAATTTACAAATTGGTCTAATTATCAGAATAGTACTGAGGATAGTCGTAGTAGTCATTAGTACTGACGTTAATCCACACCAGGGAGTATCACATCCACAGATCATGCCTATAAATATCCACCATTCGTGACCTTTTCTAACTTATGATCATAAAGGACTCGAAACTCAAGCGTCTTTCTTGTTTCAACATTTTAATAATTTCACTCTATAGTTAGCTAAATTTCTGTGAAAACCATTGAGGTAACCATAAATTAAAACAGGTTTCACATGGTTTTTTTTTTAAATATTTCAGTAAAGAAAATTCAGGTATAATAATATTAAACTCTATAAGTATCAACTTTAATTTTTACTTGTTAGTAATCAGTTGCAAAACATAAATTCTATGATGTTAATACTGCTGTTTGTCAATTTTATTAGCAACAAGCTGAAACAAGAATTTTTCATCCCTTTGAGATTTATCCCAAATATATTTAAAGTCAACGATTGACTTCAGTTTCCTCAAATGATATCCAATGTGGATGTAGCCAAACACTACCCATGTGAATGCAGGCTTCGTTTCACAGAGTCTTGCTTGGTTTGCTCCCGTTGTCTGCCTATCACATACTCCATGTAACTCAAATAGCCGTCTTTATCTTGGTCATCTTCTGCTAATACTTGGTCTATCAGTTCTGAAACATAGAGAAATTCTGTTATACTTTCTAATGAAATGGTGACCATATGAATGTAGGTATTTTAAGCCAAAAATTATTTTACAGTAGTTAATATGTTAAAATAGGTACCAAGCAGAATATTTGTCAGATTTTAAATTTTATCAAGTCTTGCCAGAATGGAGACAAAAATATACAAACCCGTTTGTAAAAATATCCTTGCCATATTATATTCAATCAATATACATACAGTTTCTGAATGGACTAAACTCTAATATTGTGAGTTTGTGCCATTTATGGATCGTAAAGCTGTTATGTATTTAGTTTATTTTCACTAAGTTGACTAAGTACAGTCATGCACTTCACTACTGTATTGATTGATTAAATAAGTACCTGTATAAATTGTATAACTTTCTTAGCTGGGTTAAAGAGTTTTGAAATGTTTTTTTTCGTCATACTGCAGCAAAAACAGTAGTTTTTTATACATGCATTGCGGGTCTAAAGTAGCATTTTTACTTCCTAGGAATTAGAAAGCTTTTTAGCCCCTAGGGAGAACAAATCGGTTTGGTAAACAGTTGTAAATTTCGATTGTGGCAATCGCTTGGATCAAAATGATTTACCAATGAATTTATTAGGTAAGGTTTATGGCTGCTTTCTTGTCAATAGTTTGAAATATCGATGGTATAATGTACACAATCGTAATAGACAAAATGATTGAATCACTTACTAAACATCTGTTTATTTACATTGGAAAAATTTAACACAAGCTGAAGTCCTTTTTAGAGGTTATTTTTACATGAAAAGTATTTTTGTTTTCTAGCTGAATTTGTTATTTAATTAATTATGCAATATGACAAAAATATAGTTATCAAACGGGCAAAAAGTGTCTTTTCAACCTTCTACCTCATTTTCTGATCTTGGCTTCGCCTCAATTGTAAAACTTGAGCTTGAATTGAAAAGAGTCACTTTACGCCCTAGCCCTAGTGTATTATTATAGTTCTAAAAATGTATTACAAACAAGTGAAAAAGGGAAAATAATGACAGTATTTATAATCCACTCAGTAGGCCCCAGTAAGTTTTTCTATAATTAATTTTAACTTGAGTCTATGATAATTACCAATAAAGTATGGAAGCTCATCTTCAGTGGGAGGTTTGCCTTCTGAGGCATGTCCTCCACTCCCCTCCTCTCCTTCCTTCCCTTCCTCTTCCTCTACCTCCTTGTGTATTGTGTGGTGGATAGCTTGGAGAATCTCCAGTCCATCAAGTTTAGTGTTGTTGTCAAAGTCATGGAGTCTGAAAAAGTAGTTATGTTGGATTCACTTGATACTTTGATTTTAAACTACCTATACAGAGTTTCACATTCTTTTAATTACCAAGTGTCTGAGAAAGAACATTCTGAATTACAATTTTATGGTAACTATTGATAGAAGTAATTTTCACGTTGAATAGATTGACCTATGCTAACAATAGGTTTACGAGTAATATCTACTTCACATGTAACAGCTTACTTGAAATAGTGAAAGTCCAATTCTTCAGGAGTTAGTTTGTGCAGTGCTTCTTTTGACATGCCCCAGTCACCTAAGTCTTCCTTGATGTGCCTGTTAAAAATCATTTTATTTTTAGCAAGTAAAAAAATGAAATAAAATAATATTTTTTTTCCAACTGAAAAATATATACAATTTGTTGTATTTTACGTAATAAATTATACAATCCTTACACTTAAAAATAAATCACAAACAATAAATTACAGCTAGTTTTAATGGCACAAAGAAAATAAACCTTATCAAATAATATACAGGGTGAATAAAAAGTCAAGACCCCCCCCTCTAATATTTTTCCAAGTAAATATACAGAGATATCCTTTTGGTGGTCATGCAAGCTTAGCAGGAAGCTTAATTTTATGATTTTGAAATTTTTGAGTGTCCCCCCAAAAGGGGTAATTTGGGGGGTAACTCAAATATTTTAAATGTAAACCCCCTTCAAGTGACACCTCATTTTGAAGTGTTTACGAAAACTTAAAGAATGGTGAAAACTAGAGGTCGCTATCTCTTCTCTATCCAAAATGGTACCCCGTCAAATGTTGTAGAAAATCAATGGTAAAATTGGTTCGTAATTGTAATATTGGCTACCATCTTGGAAAGGGAAGAGATAGCGAACTCTGGTTTTCACCATTCTTTAAGTTTTTGTAAACTCTTCAAAATGAGGTGTCACATGATGGGGGTCCACATTGAAAAAATTTTAGTTTCCCCCCAAATCCCCCCTTTTGGGGGGACACTCAAAAATTTAAATGTAAACCCCCATTTTTGATACTTTGGTTTGAAGTATTTACAAAAACTTAAAGAATGGTGAAAACTAGAAGTCGCTATCTCTTTTCTAACCAAAATGGTAGCCAATATTACTATTACGAACCAATTTTACCATTGATTTTCTACAACATTTGACGGGCTACCATTTTGGATAGAGAAGAGATAGCGACCTCCAATTTTCACCATTCTTTAAGTTTTTGTAAACACTTCAAAATGAGGTGTCACTTGAAGGGGGTTTACATTTAAAATATTTTAGTTACCCCCCAAATCCCCCATTTTGGGGAGGCACTCAAAAATTTCAAAATCATAAAATGAAACTTCCTGCTAAGATTGCACGACCACCAAAAGGATATCTCTGTATATTCAATGGGGAAAATATTAAAGGGGGGGGTCTTGACTTTTTATTCACCCTGTAGAAAATCTCTACATAGGCAGGGGCAGGGGGTAGACATGAATTATTGTGGACGTGGTATATAAACATCAGACAAGAGTAGGATTCTAGCCATCTAAATTTATTACTAACTGCATTACCGGTACGCACATTCTAGTTCAGTTTTGAATTTAGAAAACAATGAAAATGGGGAGTTCATTGTCTCATACAAAAAGTTTGCTTGGAGTTGTTTGGGGGTTCTTATTACTCTTCATCTCTTGTGTCAGAGCTTTGCTCAGTCTACTGTATCAAAAGAACTTACTCAACACCCCTGATGAGTTCAGCTCAGTCTAATGCATCATAAGAACTTACTCAATATCCCTGATGAGTTCAGCTCAGTCTAATGCATCATAAGAACTTACTCAATATCCCTGATGAGTTCAGAGTCTTGAGTCAGCTTTGTTTGAGCCTGGGGTTGATGATGATGATGATGATGGTGTCCTCTAGGATGGTGAGGCCCTCTCATACCTCCTCCAGGAGCTCCCCAACACACCAGCAGTGCCAGGACTACCAACATTCTGTACAGAATACAGTCACTACTTGGAAAAGAGTTACTAAAACATGTCTACTATGTATATAAACAATGTGACACACGAAAACACTGAATTGTTTTTCTGTTAAAGCTTTGTTTAAAGTCACACATTTTTTATTTAAAACTGTTTGAAAATTTTGGAAAGAAACTTCTCTTAACAAACTTTTGAGTTACAAAACCTCTCTCCTTGGTCATACTGGAGATAGCATCCCCTTAAGTCATGCTAATAAATGTAAATTCCTCTAAAAAAAGTATAAATTTAATTTTTCTAGCTTTTATAGTAAAATTGTTGACAATAAATGTATAAAAATTAAAATTAATTTCTACCCGTAGGAATCACTTACAACCCTAAATATACACTAACCACTAAACAAACAGCAAAGGGTGCTACTATTGAAACATCTCCATTACACGAAGATAAGAGTGGTTCCATTGTGAAAGTCTTATCAGGCTTATCACCATAATCCCTGACTGCCATGTGCCACAGACCACTGGGGGTTTATTGATAGATATCAATCGGACCGAAGCGTCCCCTAGCGGAACTGCCCTCATGAATAAAAAATCAACCGGAACTGGTCTCTTTTGAAGTGTCTCGTCGGGTGGTAGAAACTCCCCTGTCAGCATTCCTTCCCCGACTCCACTAACGGGAGATACAACACATGCACAACTCCATCCAGGGGGGAGTTGGAGGAAGAGGGTTAACATTTCTAAAACCTAAATCTATGTTTCTATCGTAATTCTGTACTAGGATGATTTTAAGTAAGCGGAAATTTGAAATAATGAGCAGTACTATCAATGTATCTGTAGAAAACGTTTTGAACAAATAAAAAAGTAAAATAAAAATAAACAAATAAACAAAAAAAACTTGATGGACATGATAGTATGTAAAACAAGAGTAGAAAGAGAGCCATTACATATCTGATGCCTATGTTTGAAGAGCGAGATTTATCGAGCACTTTAAATATGGTCGAGAATATGAATGTGAACACTTTCACTCGTGTTTTGAACGTTACTTATCGCTACACTACAAAGACTATAATTATTTTACTTTTAAAAACAGACATTGGACATTTCTTACGCTAGGAACATTAGGAAACTGAGCATTTGTTAGGTAATATGCCTTAATTTTCCAGTTAGTTGTTAAAAGTTGCTAAAGAGTTTAATTTTTCTATCCGAGAATAACCTCTACTAAAAAATCATTCGATCTTACAGTTATCACCAACGTTTAACATGTACTCAGTCGAGGCAAGCACGATGTACACACTGAAGCTAAGTAGGTGCGAAGTACTTATAGAGGGGGGCTGATCGACATTAGCTTATTAAGAGCTTAACTCCCCCCTTCTCTCCCGGAGGGTGCTCAAAGCTGACCATTAGTCATTAGTTGTCACCTGTCTCCATTATCAGCTGATAATCAAAGCTCAATACCCCCGGCACTCGGACGCCATTATGTGGTTAGCTGAGATAACATACGTGTTTGTTGATTTAGAAACACAAACAGATTTTATTGTTTTTCTGCATTTCTGTCACATTTTTTGTAAACTACGCGATGCAAGAGTTGAAAATGTTTAAACGAAAAGTCTGAGGTTAAACAAATTGTCTTATTCAAGCTAGGCCTATAATTACGGTAAAGGGATTTAGAGCACAGTATTTCCATTGAACAGTATTAACAGAACAGTATTAACAGATAACCGTTTGGATCTGAATCATCAGATGCTTCGAGGCGTAGGTAAAGGTAAAGTTCCCTTTAATGTTTAATATTTCAATATTTTTTATATAATACTAGCTGGCCCGACAGACGTCGTCCTGTCCTAATGTGGTTTTATGTCAAATGCTCGTTCATTTTCAAGATGAGCTCGTTTGCATTGCTCAATCACGTCCTAGATGAAGTTGAGTAATGAAAAAATGTTTTGGATTTTGATATTTGCGAGTATCTTATAGTAATATATGAAAGGATTCAATACTCTCTATAACAGTATTAAACTGTAAAATGTGAATGTTATTTGGAATATTCTCAACAACTTTATAAAATAATAAAATTAAAAAAAAATCGCATTCTCGTAATACTATTCCCTGCAACCAAATTGAATAGGCGAACTATTTATGTATTAATATTACCAATAACTGAATAAAATGCAAAATGATTTGGGATTTCCTGTTTATCTAATCGTAATAAGCAGTGGGACGATTAAATCGATATGCTGAATGAAATATCACATGATATAGAATTTATAATTTCTTAAATAGGTGTTTTTTTTTTTAAATTTGTGAGTTTAAGGGAGTGTTTCAAATGCATAATCAAACAAAGCACTAATTTCTGCGGTCTAGTTAACATATCTAGAGAAATGTTTTAACCAATAAGCCATATTGTACTAAGTATTTCATTCTAACAGGAGATCATAATGTTGAAATATTAAAAACTGATGAATCCGAAACACAAGAATATCTAAACTTGCTAAGATCTTTTGATATACTGCTCATACCATGCTCCTACTAGGCTAAAGGCATGTCTGGATAATATAGTTACAAATGTGGCTGCCGATTTCTTAGATGTTTCCCTCTTGGAACCAGATATTATCTCTGACCATGCTGGGGTGTGGGTAAAATGGAAACTAATGAATGAATCACATTCAGTTAAAGGTGAGAGCCAACCTTCAGTTAAGCGTCTGAAACGATTGTGTTCAGAGGAAAGGATGCTTAATTTTAAGGAATGTTTAGCAGGTAACGACTGGAGTAATCCATATGGTAGTATAAATGCAAATGACGCTGCTGATAATTTTATAAATGAATTTTATAAATAGTTTGACTATGTACTATAATATTTGTTGTCCTAAAGTAGCTGTAAATAATAAACAGAAATTAGCTGTAGGTCTTAAATGGTTTACACCAGAACTGAATAAAATGAGAAGCCACTTGTTAGCCCTAAGAGATAAATGGAAGCATACCAAAATGTTAGAAGACAAAGAGAATTTTAAGTGTTTAAAAAAAGTTTTTAACTTAGCCATCAGTAAGGCTAAGAAATCAGCCAATGATAAGTATATTGCCAATGCAAAAAATCAATGCAAAGCTGCTTGGATAGTTGCTAAGAAGGAATGTAAGCTAGAAGTAGTAACAAAACCTCAAATACCTATTTGTCCAGATATACTTAATACTTATTTTGTAAACGTCTCTGCAAATGTCATGAAGGGCAAAGACCCAAATGTTAATAGTGTAGCCTACTCTAAATACCTAAATAATTGTAACTTTGTAACAGTAGATGACAATAACAATAAATTTCAATGGGAACTTGTTGAAGAAAAAACTGTGCAGGCTGTTGTTGGTAAAATTAGTAATTCCCGTAGCGAAGATGTGTATGGTATTTCAAACTGTGTAATTAAAAATATAATATGTTTAATTTTAGAACCTCTGACCTATCTCTTTAATTTAATTCTTGGCCAAGGTTGGTTTCCAGATTGCCTGAAGACATCTAAAGTTACCCCTATTTATAAGAAAGGTGATAAAGAAAACCCTGAAAATTATAGACCTATTACCATCGTTCCTATTTTAAGTAAAATTGTAGAATCTTGTTTAGTTACTCAACTTTATAAATACTTTGTGGATAGTAATTTGTTGTACAGTTACCAATTTGGTTTCAGGCCTAAGCACTCTACAGTGGATGCTGTAGAATCTGTCGTAAATCACATTTTGAATAGTTTTGAGAGCAAGTGTTTTGTGAGTTCTAGCCTTTTAGATTTAAGTAAAGCCTTCGACACTGTATCACATGTTATTCTTTGTAAGAAGTTAGACTTTTATGGGGTTGGAAATATGGAGTTGAAGCTTATTGAAAGTTACCTTAGTAATAGAAAACAATTTGTTAGTTTAGATAATAGGGTTTCAAACTTTGCAAATATACATGCCGGAGTGCCACAAGGATCCGTACTTGGACCTTTTTTGTTTTTAGTTTTTGTGAATGACTTCAGCTGTAATAACACTGCCATGTCAATATTGTATGCTGATGATACAACCCTTGTTCATTCTGATCTTAATCTGGAAAATGTTTTGACAAAACGGAATAGAGCTTTGGCACAGGCCCAAGAGTTGTTCTCAGCAAATAACCTAGTTTTAAACAATGACAAAACCGTACATATTTTATTTTCTTTGAAAAATGTGATAGATATTAACTGTGATGAAGATTTATTTAAACCTGTTAATTTACTAGGTATCTATTTAGATAGTAAACTCTCATGGGATGTACATGTAAATAGTCTATGTAAAAGGCTGTCAAGAGTAGTGTGTCTACTGTGAAAACTGAAAACATGTGTCAGTGAAGATGTGTTGCTTATGACCTACTTTGGTCTATTCCACACGCATCTATTGTATGGAATAAAGCTCTGGGGCAACTCACCCTCTGCCATAGATGCTTTCATATGGCAGAAAAAGGCTCTCAGAGTTATGGCTGGGCTAGATTCTTCAGACTCTTGTAGAACAATTTTTCCACTATTTAATATTATGACCCTTGCTTGTATTTACATCCACAGCAATCTTATTTTTGTAAAATCTAATTTAGAAACTTTTAATCAACAGTTATCAGTTCATGATCATGACACAAGAAATAGAGGTAATCTTGTTAAACCTAATATTAGACTGCACAAGTACTTAAAGAGCCATAAATACCAACAACTGTTGTTCTTCAATAAACTGCCAGAGATTGTGAGGCTGTTGCCTATTAAGAAATTTAATACTGTAATTACAAAATGGTTAAAAAGTAAGGCTTTCTACACTGTAGATGAATTTTTAGACTTTTAATTTTTTGAATTTTTTGGATTTTTAGAATTTTGTAGATGGATTTGAAGCTAAGACTGATTGTATTATAGACTGACTGTGATGTATTTTTGCACTGACGATGCCTATTGTAACGTTCTGTTATTTAATGGTAAATAAATATTCTTGATTCTTGATTCATTGGGAAAGCCTATATTGTCAATGAAGTTTAAAACCGTGATTACAGTATATACCCATGGCCACCTCCAACCATCCACAACCACGTAGGCCCTATAGAATAAAAACGTTAATGATTGAACAAATGTTCCTATACGGTTAATTTTGACAGTATTAGCATTTGTTATTTTTATTATTTTATTATTTTATTTATTGTTTTGTTATTTTATTAGCAACTGTGTTTTCTGTCTTTGTTGTTTGTGTCGATTTCAATAATACAAATTATTTTTGGTTAGATTTCCTTCAGTTTAAAATTCTATACAAATTAATTGAGAGAAATTAACTTTGATGCTCTAAATACCTTTCCACTTGATGATCGGGTTGAATTACTATCCTGAAGAGTTGTGCGAAGCCTGTGCCTGACTGATCAGTGATGGAAATGCTTTCAATTAGGGTAGTTATCGGCTCAGTCCGGTAGTGTGATAGACTACAAATAAAAATATATAAATAAACACCGCTTTACATGACGATGATGTCTGCTTATTCTTGATATTTCAGTCTAGAAAGCTGAAACCCTTCTGTTCCTACTAGATTGAGGCTATTTTAGGACTGTGTCCTCTTCAACCAAAACGATTTCTTGTGTTTGCATCATAATGTCCGCTAATACATGTTATCAATAAATTTCACTCATGTCCTATACCTGATAGCCCTTGTTTTGCAGGATACAATCAACTCACAGGTTCGAGGCTTATGCGGAAGACCAACTGGAATTTAAAATATACCACCGACCTCTTAAAATAAACATAACTAGCTGTTTGCCCGTTCTACGTAGGCTACGGGAATCTTGTAGTAAGTTGAAACCTAATATTCAGAACAGGAGTTGGTTTGCATATTTAGTGTGCATTTTTGCAGATATGCTAGCAAAACCAATTCTGTACAGGAATACATATAAACCTTCGTAAATACAATATCTGAGGGTTTCAAAGCCAAAACGAATGCTTCGTAATTAAATGTCACCCGATCGTGTTAGTCCATATTTTATAATCTAATGATAAAAGAAATTGCTTTATAGATCTATGAGGCATAGCCCTAAGGTAGGCCTGTAATTTAAAGTTACTTTTCACACTGGTTAAAAGTAGTTAAAATACTACCTCAACCTCACTACTAATATATAAATAAGTCAATAAATACATAGCCCACAAAACATTTATACTTTGACAACGCCAAGCTTTAAAAATTCATGATGGTTTGCTAAAAAAATCGTTCACTAATTCATAGCACTAATTTCATAGCATAAACTAACATTTTGGAGTCCAGACAGAAAACGCTAAAATTCCTACTGTAAGACATCAATTAAATTTAATAAGAAATAAGGTGCAGCACTAACGATAACTATAGTTGTATGTAGTGATGTGTTTGTACGTAAAAATGATTCTTACTGCTACCACCGGTTCTAAGGAAAAGTAGCAGTACCAAAAACCAACGTTTAAATTTAAGAAAAAAACTATAGTACTTACGACCAACTCAAACTGTCCTTCTAATCAAACTGTATTATAGGTGTTTGTTACGAATAAAAACTGACAAAAATTATGAGTACTCAGTGAATGTGGTGAATGACAATAATTTATTTGAACCATTTTTTAATATCTTCTTTATAAGGCAACACACACTCTACTCTTGTTTACTTTTTCTCATTTAAATTAATTAACATGTGTTTAATTATTATCAAGCATTCTAATATACATTAATATCAACATTTGCTAACAGCTGGCACTTTAAAACCAGTATAAATTAAACCACTGATTAAAAGAAGTAACCACCTCAGTATATATAACAGTGTTAATCCGTGAGTAAATATATAAATAAATAAATAAATACACAGGCCACAAAACATGAAACATATAAATTTAACAACATAAAGCTTTAAAAACTGACTATGGTTTGCTCAAAAAAACTTTCACTTGATGTGGTGCAGTACCAAAGTTATAAATCTCCCTTGGTTTTAATTTTTTTTAAGTTTTCGAAAATCAAAGTTATTTCCCATAAATAGCATTATTTGTAAGCAACTTTTAATGTTAACAGTTTGAAGAAACCACCCTTATCCAAACAAAGGTTTCTTATTTAAAAGATTACGTTATCTCTAAACGATAATCGGTACATATACAGGGTGTCCCGGAACTCTCTACCAATATTTTAAGGCATTGCTCCTGGGTAAGAAACATAACTAAATATCATATTTAAATTGTCCGGAAGTCCTTAGTTACTCACACAGCCGCCATTTTGTTTTTTTTAAGTTATTAATTTCTTTCTAAAGAATGGTTAAACATACGAAATAGAAACTTTGCACAAACATGTATGACAACTAGACAAAGCTACCAAAAAATTATCACGATTTTTCAAATTCATAAAACAAAATGGCGGCCATTTCAAATTTTTGTAAAATCAATGGTTTTGAGTTATTTAAGAAAGAAAATTTTAATGGCCGCCATTTTGTTTTATGAATTTGAAAAATCTTGATAACTTTTTTGCAGCTTTGTCTAGTTGTCATAAATGTTTGTGCAAAGTTTCCATTTCGTATGTTTAACCATACTTTAGAAAAAAAATTAATAACTGAAAAAAACAAAATGGCGGCTGTGTGAGTAAGGACTTCCGGAAAATTTAAATATGATATTTAGGTATGTTTCTTACCCAGGATCAATGCCCTAAAATATTGGTAGAGAGTTCCGGGACACCCTGTATATAGCAAACATTCGGAGGGAATGTGACAAATACCCCCGTCGCAGCAAACCTGCATACTAAGCGAATTTCCATTTACCCGGCTTGATTTCTACTAAAATATTCCCTATAAATTTTCAGATTTGTTTCCTATTTAAATAACATTAATTTTAGTGAGTACTGTAGTTAGGTTTGCTGCTACGGGGAAGATGTTGAGGTGTGTTTTATCAATTGAAATATTGATAGCTTAGTATGAAATAAACCAAATTGCCAAATTTGATTAAAATATATCCATAAACAAGCAAACTAGAACAGTTTATTTATTCTCCATAAGAATAACATGGGAGTTTTAAATTTACAAATTTTTAACTTTTCTCCGTAGTCAATGAACATTCAAAAACACTTCAATATACTAAATTATTTGTTTTTTTATGCTCTTCAAAATGGTCTAGAGAGAAATTTAGAAATTTAAAGTTTTTAGGGTCAAAAATGAGAAAAACCAATTTTTACCCCGTAAAACCACCCATAAACCCCTGATCCCATGGTCCGATTATGCTGGTTCACGAACTCGTTTGAATAAATGTAGGTTTACACGTTTGTACCAAATTTCATCAAAATCGGATCAATTTTGCTCGAGTTATCGCGCTAACGGACACACATATATATATATATGAATTTGAACGGATACCCCCACCGCAGCAAACCTGCAGACTAAGCGAATTTCCATTTGACTAATTGGATTTATACTGAAATGTTTACTTAAAAATATAACATTTATTCTCTATTTAAATAGAATTAGTTTAACTAGTATTTAGGTTTGCTGCATCAGGGAGGGTAAAACTGTTTTTTTTTTTTGTAAAATGTTAATAGTTAGTAAGAAATAAAAAATTTTCCAAATTTGATCAAAATATGTTCATAAACAAGCAAACTACAACAATTTACTTATTCTCCATAAGAATAACATGGAATTTTAAATTTAAAATTTTTTTGGAATTTTCTCCGTAACCATTAGGCGCATAATATCGCTTCAATATACTAAATTATTTGTTTTTTAAGCTCTACGAAATGGTTTGGAAAGAAATTGCTAAATTTTATGTTTTTTGGGTCAAAAATTGGAAAAACCTATTTTTACCCCATAAAACCCCCCGTAAACCCCCGTTCCCATGGTCCGATCATGCTGGATTGCGAACTCGTTCGAATAAGCGTAGGTTTACACGTTTGTACCAAATTTCATCAAAATCGGATCATTTTTGCTCGAGTTATCGTGCTAACGGACACATATATACATATTTATATATATATATATATATATATGAATTTGAACGGATGGTGTTTTTGGCATCTAGGGACCTCAAAACGAAAAAAAAATCGGTCCTGCGTCCAGGTCTTACCATGAGTACTACGGTAATAGCTTATTCCCTATATGGGAAATTCGCTAAAACGCAGAAATCTGGGGTTTTTGACGATTTCCTACTTAGGAAGTATGTAGTTTTACTTCCTAAGTAGGAAAAGTACCGATATCGTTGTCGAAATGTTAGTAAGTAGAAACCAAAAGTGACACATTGGAAAAGCGAGTTTAGCTACATCTGTAAGTTAAACCTCTGTTACGATCACAGCGAAATCAGAAAGATCTTCCAAGATGACAGCAACATCCACGATCACCCACTGCAGTTGATTTTTTACTTTGTACTTTACAAACTGTCATTTGTGAATTTGACAAAATTTGACAAAAACCGAACAAAATTGGGTTTTTGATGGTTCGTTATTTTGTTATCCAAGAAGCGAGGCCATGTTATCCATGTTTTTATAGCCAAAGACACTCTCATCAATCCAGTAAATACAGAAAAATGATTAGAACCTTGATCTGTACTCTAGTTTTCTAGGAGTAGGCCGCGTAAAATGACATTTTGGCATTACAGACGGAACCACAGAATGGACAAACAGACAAACAGACAGACAGACAGAAATTGAGATAAGACTCGTTTCGGCTTTCTTAGGCTACGAAACGTAAAAATAACCAAAAACTGCAAGATTCTAATCAATGTACAGACAAAACTGTAATTTTATTTATATAGATAGAAGATAGATGTCCAAACATAAACCCAATACCACACCATAACACCAAAACTGAAAAATTGCCTTCTGGTCTACAAATTTCCATCCAAATCGCACTACACTAGCGCAAATCCACTCAGTAAGACAATTATTTAAAGCCCACTTGACAATAGCACCCAGGGGTGGCTAGGCGTGGGGTACAAGTGGAGCTGTAGGGCTTGTAGCGGCATATGGCCCTTCGGACACCTGTTGACAACCTCGCTTGTAATTACGATTTGGTTACCCCCCCCCCCCTTCCAGAGACCATCATATGACGTAATGATAGACCTCCCCCCACAGACCGTCATGTGACATAATGGTAGACCTCACCCCTCACATAGTGGGCTGGGTCCTAATGTCACATCTACATCACAAAGATAACACATGTTCTACCCCCGTGATATTCGAGTGCGAAAATACGAGTTTTTTGCTAGAGAAGTTGAGACCGAAATGAGACTTACGCAGGATTAGTAGGGGCAGGGGTTCATAAGTACTTTTGTGAATTGAAATAAACATGTTTCTTAACGTTAGGTTTTCATAGTTTGTATTTTAATTCCAGTTTGAAATGTCACTAAACAATACTTAAAAGTAAGGTACTAAACCCAGTAATGTAAAACCTATTTACAGAGTCGTCATTAGGCCTAATCTGTTTGATGTTTCCATCAATTTTATTGTACGTATTGCATTAATGAGACTTTACAAGACAAATTGCAAAAAAATCCCCATGCAAAGACTTTGCTAGATACAAAATATTGAATGAGAAGCGTACAAATACGTAGTTCAATTGAGTTTCATTTTTATGGTATAGCCTCTGGATCACTGAGTTTTCCAATAAAAGGTTTAAATTACCTGTGGGCAGTCATGACCTACCTTCTACCTTATTAAACAATTCTGTAATTGAATTAATATTAAGTGTTTACTACGTAATTATTATGTAATATGTAATGTATTAATGTATTAATGTAATGTATTATGTACTGTAATTAATATTATGTTTTAGCTAATTAGGATTATTGACAGTACAAAAAACTTGTGAATAATATATTTGCCTTAAAAAAACTACCAAATTATTTTTCCAAGAATAAAATGGTGTTAGTAAAATATATTTTTTCATATTTTAATTGAACAGTTATGAAGGAATTAGTCGTTTTACAATTATTGATAATCAATAACGTGTACCATATGTACTACAACTAACTTACTCAATAATATACTGAGAACCATTTTTGAATCAATAAAATTTACATTATACACAGTTATTCCGAAAGTTACCAAGTATAAGTTAACCCTTTGTCGCATACGTTTATTATCAATAGTCTTTATAAAGAGTAAACAATGTTTAAAAACAATAAATCTACGTCTCAAATTAATCTTGAGACAAATATTTTCTTCAGTTAAATACTGTTCATGGTTGAAGAACAACTTGGTATGAACAGACGCTGTCAATGATGAGAAACATAATTTATTTGTTGTTGTTTACCTGTTTATAAAGGCAATTCCAGCAGAACTGTCAGTGCAGGCCGTGGTAAGACTCCATCTTGACAATCAGCTGATCAATAAGCGAGACTTGCGCCTGCCTACTTGATATGTTTGTGGCATTCGCCACTAGGTTGTGTTCGTGTGTTATATGACAATAAATGTATGTAAAGCCTCTTTAAACGCTGGCCATAGACTTTCTCTTTTATTTTGTGTTTTCCAGAGAATAGTGAATTTGACAATTCATTTGCCTCGTACATTGTCATAAATTTGTCTATCTTTCTAACATTGGTTCAATGATTATATATGTGATTTGCTATACGATTAGCCTACTATAGTGTGTCAGTTATGACAAATAATTTGAAAATAAATTAAATACACTCTATTTCTCTTTTACTTTTTCAATATAAATGCCTTAGAATATTTCAGAGTACGGAATGGAGTAAAAATCTAATCATCTTCAATCTAAAAATGAAATATAATATAATCTACACTGCTATTAAAGGGGAGATCAGCCTATCCTTCGATCAAGCAAAAACACTAGACTAAATTTGTGCTTTGATAATCTACAGACCCAGGCTTACCTTAGGCTTATTCTTGGTTTAACCCTAGAGCTCTATTTTCGTGATCATTTTTAACTTCGTAGCTGCATAGCAAAAGGAAATACTTAATGTCTGCATAAGACCTGACACTTTTTCCACCGACGATTCAAAATGATAATATAACATATGTTTTTTTTTTTAATTAAGTAAGTCAAATTATTCTGGTGACACCATTGACTATGGAATGTTCTATCAATGATATTTTATAAATATATTTATTTTTTTATCTTGTTATACTGGATATCAAACAGAAAACGCGTGGTTGCGAAGCAATAGTAAACATACTTTTCATATTATAATTTCAAACATAACTGTGTAAAGCCAACTATGAAAGGTTTTCTCCATATGCATTTCATATAGAAAATATATCATTGCTTTATTACACAAAAATCAAATTGTCCATTTGCCAGTTTACCGCCGTTGATGTTAGGATCTAAACAAGTCAAGGATAAGTCTGGAAGGGGTTGGTAGTGTGGGAGAGGGGGAGGGGGTTGTACTGGTGTAAAATGGTTAAAGGGATGAAGTATAACTGGACAGAATCAATAAACAGTTTGGTTGCCATGACAACGTGGTACCGCAACACGGTGCAGTGGCGGTCTATAAGACACTATCTCGATAATTGTTTTTCACTAGAAATCGAGTATAATCTTATTTGTTAAATTCGTGTAGAGAATGTGGTCCAGACAATTTAAAAATCTGTCTTGTCGATGTTTGGTACCCAGGTATTTTGTAACTTCAATCTGTCTATTATGTATGGTCCTTTCTCAACCCACAAGAATATCATACAGAGTAATTTGAAAATCACTTAAATTTCATTGCAGGTAAAAGTGATGGTGAATGTTTGTAATGTAGGAAGATTCACAACACTACAAATATTTAAAGAATTGGTTTCTGTGATAAAACTAAATTTGCTATATTTGTATACTAAAAAAGTATTTTAGTGAATCTTATCTTACTATAATATTATAAATCTGAAAGTTTGTGAGTTTGTTTGTTTGTGTGTGTGTGTGTTACTCAATCACGCATAAACTACTGGACGGATTGGGCTGAAATTTGGCATGATGATAGCTCACATTCCCGATTAACATTTAGGCATATTCTTATCTCAAAAATCCTTTCAGGCACCGCCCCAGTGGCTCTGTAGTTCTCCATGTTAACCAAAGGAGTATTCATATTAAAAGGGAATTAAATAATTTAGTCAGTTGTTTCAACTAAAAAAATGTTCTATGATATGCAAAAGCATTAAAAGTTAAAAGATTTACCAACAGGGTGCAGTACTAAATTTTTTTGCATTTGTGAAAACAGCTAATTTAAGCCATTGGCTATTTGAACAAAGCAGCAACAAAAAACCGTGATATGCAATGAAAACTGTCAAAGTTGGACTGTTTACAGTTATGTTTATGTTTTTAATTTCATGAATAATTGGTGATATCTTGCAAATTTTAAAAATTAAATTTTCTCTGTTGTTTAGGTGAAGTGGTAGAACATTATGGCTGTGGTAGATGTGTAATACTATAGTATACCGTAAATTTAAAGAAGCAAATTTTATCAAAATGTGTCCACTCCATTGCAAACGCAAGGCTTGAGTATTACTGCAATAAGGATTATATACTTTTATGCCAACCCCGTACGAAGGAAGGGTGCTCTGCTAGTTTCCCATATCGGGAACAAGCTTTTACCATATGTCTCAAAAAGACCTGGACTTGGGACAGATATTATTTTCGTTTGATGACCACAGAGGCCAAAAAACACCATCCGTTCAAATGCATATCATCATACTAATATTTATGTAATACAATTACGCAATTCCAGTAAAAGATTTAACAAACGGTATATTTTAATTAACAGTATATGTGTCCGTTACCGAGACAACTCGAACAAAAATGATCCGATTTGATGAAATTTGGAACGTGCAAACCTACGTTTATTTGAACGAGATTGCGAACCAGCGTGATCGGATCATGGAAGTAGGGTTTTAAAGCGCTTAAAGAAAAAAGAAATTGAAGTGTCCTCGGTTAGTTATTGGTTACGGAGAAAAAAATTTAAAATTGCCATGCAGAATAAGAAAACTGTTGTAGTTTGATTGTTAATGGATATATTTTGATCAAACTTGGAAAATGTATTTATTTTATACTAAGCTATTAATATTTTACTAAAACACACTTTATTACACTCCCTCTAGCAGCAAGCCTAGGTACTTTTTTAAACCTAATGCTTTTTAAATGCATTTAATTGAATGTTGAATTAGGCAAATGGAAATTCGCTTAGTCTGCAGGTTTGCTGCGGTGGGGGTTATTATCCTACAATTGACGACCTATTATCGAATTACTTTATTTTTCTTTTGGTATCCTAGGCATACAGTGTTAGTTCGTAAAATACTTTTCTGGCAACATATAAAAAAAAAATTGGATAATTTATTAGATCTCCGGCCTCCCAAAACGTTTTATACATTTCTAGGTAGCCTAGAATATAGTAATTCATTTGATCAGAGTGCTACATTTTAATACTTAATTATATAGTTTCTTCCATCAAATTATAATTTACCATCTCATGAAAATAAGAAGTATACGAATTACATCGTTCAAGTACGATAATGCATTATATCTAATCATCGTTCTTGCCCATGTTTTGTTCTTAATTAATCCAATTGAAAACTGTATTATGTCAAAAATAATTAACCTGTATATGTACAATTTAAATCAGATTTCGAAAATAATTACTATGTATCCATCCCTCACGAGTCAGAATACATATAACTAACATCGAGGCAATTACTTCAATTGCTCTTCGGTTAAACACTGCTAAACTCTCTTTGATTCGCGCTCGCTCGCTTTCAGGTACATAATCGAGTTTTACTCATGAAAGGGACAAATGTAACAAACCAGTGTTGTAATAATGAGTGCATTAGTGAAGCAGCAAAGTCATTGTTGTGTGACGTCATTAAACAAGCAACCAATCAGAAACCAGCGTTTGATCGGTTGGATCCTTTGTGTTATATAATCTAAAGCACACAATGCTATTCTATCAAGTTTCTATTTTTCTGGTGTTTTATGGGAGTTTAACAGATATTTCAAAGGAATATCTCTTCATAGAAACCATAATTTTTTACCATACAATTCATAGGTTTGTTTATTTCTCTTCGCCCAATATTTCTTTCAATTAATTCACAAAATGTGTGTTATTGCTCTAAAAATCGTCGAATATGTCTCGAAATGTTGTATTTACATACATTTATGTTGGAACTTCATAGGTGGTTCAAAATGTTGGGATTCGAAAAAATAAGTAGAACATGGATTTATAGCTATAATAAAATTAAATGCCCCCGCCACAGCAAACCTGCAGATTAAGCGAATTTCAACTTGTCTGATTACATTTTTACTAAAATATTTCTATAAATAAGAAATATTATATTTATTCCCAATTTAAATAACCCTAGGTTTTCTGCTACGGGGAAGGTAAACCCGTCTTTTTGCCCATACGTCAATAATACATAGGATGACATAGATAAATTTGCAAGATTTTATCAACATATAAACAAGTATATGTTGATTATGGATAGTTTATCAATAAACAAGTAAACTACATCAGTTTTCATTTTATCCATAAAAATAACATGGGAATTATAAATTACACTTTTTTTAATTTTTCTATGACCGTGTTAGACATACTAATAGTGCTTCAATATATTAAAGTATGTCTTTTTAATCTCTAAAAAATGGTTTGGAAATAAATTGCAAATTTTTTGTTTTTAGGGTCAAACATTGGAAAAACCCCATTTTTACCCCCATAAACCCCCGTTTCCATGTCCCTTATTCTTTATATGGGAAATTCGCTATAACTCGTTCTTAACACTATGTTTCCAAACATTATTTTGTATACAAGAGGTTAAGTTACCTTTTTTATAACCAATTACTGTAATCCGAAAGTCATCTATATGTCAACCGGTTTGTCGTCAATGGTGTCATTGTCAAGCTGGAAGTAATTTATTAATTTATCAATCTTAGGAGTTCGTCCACAGGTTAAGCGTAAGAGAGGGCCATGTGGCCCTAGCTTTGCCTGTATAAATAAATAATTTTCATTTCATTTAATTTCGTCATATAATACGTCTTACAAAAACGGTAAATACATGGCCATACAACTTATGATTACAACACGGTGGCGGACAGGGTGTATGTCTGACAGTATATAATTTATGTTTACTAATCCGGAAGGCAATATACATAATGAACATTATTTTGGGTTCCAGTATTAGAAGATAACTGTCTAAAGAGTGATACTCTTTAAAAATATAAATAAAATATTTTTAAATAATCCCATGGCTCTAAATGAGTCCTCGCTGCGCCAAATATATATCTATGTAGGACATAGTCAATGGTAGGACCCATAGGGGTCAAGGTAGGCCTAGTACTATTAATTTTAGATGGTTTATATTGTTCACTTTTAGCAACACCG